CCCCCCCCCCCCCCCCTCACCCCCCCCCGCCCCTGAGCAGATTCTTCAGTTCTTTCCTGAGCGGCTCGAAGAAGATTGCTCTGGCAGAGGCGGGCGCGAGAGACAGGTTCGAGACACACCGCTGTTGTTTTTTTTGTTTTTTTTTGCGAAAAGTCTCAGAATGTAGGCGAAGTCACCCACTTGTAAAATAGCGCCGAGTCTAACATGATGATGAGACGTGGTTTCCCCCGCGGCTGTCTTCGCTCTTTTATGAGTATGAAACCGAACGGGGTAGCGGCTTACACAACACAAGCAAGTGTTGCACCCTCATCGGTCATGGAAATATTGGTCTGGGTTGCTGTGTAAGGAAGATATTCAGTATGTGGTGTTGCAAGGGAAAAGCGTAGTACGTAGGAATCAGTCTGCATGCAAATACGGTGTCTTCGATATTGTTGCATTTTTATTTCGGTTTTGGGGGAAGGTATGTTCTTCTGCGCAGGCAGTCCGTTGGTACTACAGGCACACGTTTTTCTTTCCTTCTTTCAAGGGACGAAATCTCTCGTTTCCCCCCCCGTCCCCGTCCCCCGTCCCCCTCGGTGTTTGCTATTGGGTTCGGGTTTTCGTCGCTTGGCAACGACGTTGTAAATCGAGCCATTCACTTCGTGAACTCGGCAACCAGGTAGCCGGGTTTTTTTTTTTTTCCTCTGTTTTTTTTTGGCGGTAACCATAATGTTTTTTTTTGGCGGTAACCATAATGGTGGTCGAGTAGATCATTTGTGCGGGGTCGAGAACCCTCACTCCGCGCAAGGGGGATGATCGCACCACGTTGTGTTAAAATGGTCAAGCACTCTCGAGGCAGTTACACAGTGTTAACAACTGTCTCTGGAATTGAAAGCGCCAGAAAATATATTAAGTCATACGCAGCTGTCATCCGTACGCAAGGAAGTAAGCACAAGATGCCGAACACCCTTAGCAGGATGCAGCGCACCCTTCATGAGAGTCGCCGAATACCACACGGCGCTTTGCGCTTGGTGATGTGAGAGCCTGGCCTGGTGAGAACCCGGCATTCTCCGTCCCGGCTTTGTAGGGATGCTAGGCCAATAGTATAGCGTCTACGGCATGCACGACTATGAGTACACC